CAGGCCAAGGCGCCGCTGAGGAGGTGACCGTCGCCAAGGCGGTGGAGGTCTCCTCCTCGGTGATGACCTCTGGCGCCTCGGTGTTACACTCCTTCTCCTCGGCGACGACCTCTGGCGCCTTGGTGACGCGCTCCTCCTCGGCGACAACCTCTGGCACTGAGACGATGACCTCCGGCGCCTTGGCGACGGGCTCCTCCTCAACGACGCCTTGGCCTGCCTCGCCGAGACCGCGCCCCTCGGCGACTCGCTCTTCCGGCTCGACCTGTGGCGCCTGGGGGTGGGGCTCCTCCTCGGGGAGCGCTTGGCCTGTCTTGGCGATGACCTGCCCCGCCGGGGAGACGACCTCTTGGGCCTCGGGGGCGAGGCGCTCCTCCTCGAAGACGACCTCTCGCGCCTCGGGGTCAGGCTACGCTTGGGCGGCTCTGAAGCTTTCTTCTGGGCCGCCCGCCGGGACGGGGAGGCCACCCCTCCTCCTCCGCTGTCGCCCCTCCTGGGGTGGTGGGGGGCCGCCGTAGCCGCTCGGGCCGGAGGGAGGGGGCTACGGGACCGGACCCCTGCTCCCTCTGAGGTCCGGCGGGCCAACTCCGCTCCGCCGTCTTCCCTGGCCGGAGGAGTTGAAGTTGCTACCTGCTGCCTGGGTCTCTGGACTGGTGAATAGTCGGTGGAGCTCTGTGTTGGAGGAGGTGGGGGGAGTGGTTTGGGGGAGAAACAGAGAGAGAGAGACAGGGGAAACAGCCGTGAGGACACGAGGCGACCAGCACTTAACCCTCGCGCTTCCCCCAACATGGGTACGACGAAGGCAGAGGGATCTGGGAGACCCGCGACCCGGGTCGGCACGCAGAGGCAGCAGGGGTGGTTGGAAAGGGGAGAGCGACGCCCGGGGAATGGAGCCGGGAAAAGGGGGCAGACGTAGGTCTGCCTGCGGCCGCATGGGCAGACCGTCGCTCGGAGCGTCAGGCCCTGGCCTCCTTCCCCGCAGGGCGGGGGTTCGATTCCCGGGACCGTGTGGTGGTGGTGATGGGGGGTTTGTCTTAGGAGGAGGAGGTGGTCACGCAGGTCGGGGTCGGTGGGGGGGTGTACCTGTAGCCGTCGGAACTTGGTAGAACGAGAGGTGACCTCGCTGAGATGTAGAAGATCCTGCAGTGTGGGAACTGGACGTGGCGGATGCTGAGGGGTGGTGTTTACCCCACTTCGTGGGGGAAATCTAGGACGAGGGGAGCGGGTGGGTCTCGGTTTCGGAATTGAGGGGTGGGGGTTTCGGGTGGGTGGAGTCCCCAGTTTCAGATGGAGATGGAGGAATACCTTCACTGCATGGGGCGGAGGGGAAGCCGTGCAGGGAAACTTGAACCACGTCCCGTTCACTGACTCTCTCCACCCATTTAATCCCCCTCCCACAGCCCACTGAACTCTATGCCCCCCTCAACCCCTCTAATGACCTCCTAACCACCCCCTCTCCTCCTCCCCCTCCCGAAGCCCCGCTGCACTCACCTCCCGCTTACTCCTGCCCGCTCCGCGCCCGGAGCTCCCGCTGGCGCTCCTGGTCCTGGCCTTCTGCGGGGAGCCGGCATGCCTCCCGCGGGTGGGAGAGGTGCCCCGAGGAGCCGCCTCCAGCCTGGCAGTGGGGCGGGGCGAGGGGCTGCCCCTGGGAGGCGCTGCAGGGGCGAGCTGCGGACTCCTGGACCTGCCGGGGTTAGGGGTTGAGGGTGAGGAAATTGGAACACGGTAATGAGCGGTGACTCTGTAACACACACACACGCACGCACACATACACACACAGAGAGCAAGCAAGCGGTGGGACACAGGCCCTATTACACACACAAACCACCCAACACACAGCCACCCCCCTCCCTT